CCATGAACAGTGACTACACTATATATTGAGTGAACACATTCCTTATTAAAGAGACGCTAAAGCAGCATGTTATGCTAACCAGCTAGCTAGCCATGATCTTCTACAATTACTTGCTATTTAGTTTCTCAAACCTTTTTGAAGTTGTGGGGACCATTGTTCAGGTCCCCACAAAGATCTGTGAATCCAGTCAAAAAAGTAAAAATGCCAGAAGTCTCGTATTTTATTTGGTTACTTATGGTTAAGGGTAGGGCTGGGTAGGGGTTCAGATTGTCATGTTGTGCTTGGAGTTTTCCCCATAGAAATGAATGGAGTCCTCACAAAGAAATAATTACAAACCTGTGTGTGTCTCACAAGAGAGTATCATGAGATATGGGAAGAGAAGCATTCTGATGTACTCATACTTGTGCAAATGGCAAATCATGAAATTTCAATTCATTTTAGTGTTAACTAAGCACTTGTAGGTGCCAAACTAAACTACTTCTTTTGGTGGTCGGTCTTCATTCTGCAAGAAAACCTTTTCAAGACTTGGCAAGGGGCTACCTGAGAAAAATAAAATAATTCTTAAATCACATCTGCCATGAAAATAAACTGGTAGCTAAAATGCAGTCTACCTTGACAAAGGAGCGAAGATAGTGCTCCAGTCCTTCTTCATGGCACAGTGAGAAAATGTTGATGATCACTCTGGAAAAGAGGGCATTAGGTGCTTTTAAACTTAGCAAGCGGGTTGGTCTACAGTAAAAAACCTCAGAATATATGGTGCAGACATATTGATAGGGAGCTGGGTTTGGACCAATGACAGGTATGGCTGACTGACCGCGTACAGTTGACAGCTATCTCCTGTGTCTCCTTGGTGGACATGGTGAGAACTTCAAATAGCTGGACTAACACCGTGGGCAGGAACTTGATGATGAAATGAGTCTCCATGTCATGTAGGCACTAGTATGAGAGGGAGACAGGAAGAGAGATTTGCACAGCACCTGATTTGAACAAAAGCCAAGCTTGTAATTTCTAAAACCTTCTAATAACAGTCACACGTCACTCCCAATGCAAAAATCCTCATCCACCTGGAGCCCCTAGATACTTTAGGACATTCATTCATTCATCCATTCATTCAGGGCAAGTCAGTTACACATTACACAGTCAGCATTAGCTCTGGTTTAAGAATTCCTATTAAACTTCCATACTTTGCAAAGTATCAGAGAATCACATGAAAAGGGCCAACAGCACATGGTACATGTCCCTTAAACATGAGGGATCACATTTCCTATTAATATGTTTTGGCACATTTCAACACTGACAAAGCACAGTTCTCAAATATGATATGCACAGACGTCACGAAAGACAGACAGACAGACAGGGTAGGAAGACCTAAGGCCAGAGAGCTGGGCCATGACCAGGACAAATCCTCAACCCCCGTACCTTGAGGTAATTGACGAGCTCCGCCGGATTGTCCTCAGAACCAGACTTCAGCAACTGGCAGTGCTGGAAGAACCTGTGCAGATGTGGGTCCTGCAGTGGTACATGGGGATCCAGCCCAGGGGTTAAGAACTTACTGACCATGCCAGACACTGAGCATCTAAAACTGACACTTCAGGGAGCAGCCACTGTTTTACATTTTATGCCTTAGCCCATAATTGATTGTTAATCTATGACTTAATTAATTGACACATGCTATTCATTAAACAGACTCGCATGGCCTGTAATGTTCCACGTCAGGCTCATTCAGGGCTGGACTGAACCCAAAAAAATGGCCCTGGTATTTTTTGGTCATGGCGGCCCACTATGATTATTTATACGATATGCGAAAGCACATGACATACCAGAGGATATATGTGCACGTTGCGTGACTTCAAAAATTGAAATAAAGCGCAGCAGCTTACAAGGAAGAGAGTAACCATGTTAAAAAATTATATGCTCTTTCACTGCTCAAGGATTCATCTTGGGAGAGATGGCCACAGTGTCACAATTCCCACCTTGAAGTGAAAGTGGATGTCAAAGAAACACAGAGAGAGAGAGAGAGAGAGAGGCAGAAATGTTAATTTCACTAGTGTTATTTCTCTGGTTACCTATCAATGATAAATAATCCATTTCAGCAAAGCAAAGTTTTACTAATATTACATGATAACTGTAAGCTGTAACACCTGCAAACTAAAACTTTATGGCAAGCTAAAATACCACTAAGTTGGACACCAAATCTACTCATAGCATTATTTAAATGATGGCTATAAAGGCAGTTCTCTATGGAAAAACCCTGGACGGGAATAACACGATCATTGATCGCAATCTGATAACGTGAAGCGTTTCAACAATTCTGTAAATAATTAAAATAATGAAGCTACTTTAAAATGTCAAAGGATGTTCTTTCGAGGTTCCTGAGAGCTGCATGTGCGAAGTTCCACGGTGAATAGGAATACAGTTCATTTTACGTATAATACCTAGTCAGTCAAAATACCTGTCAAACGTTTAATGTAGTTTCCAGGGCGGGTGGTTTGCGACCGCGGTGAAGTTGGTTTTATGTTCGATATCGCTGGTTTTCTCGAAATCAGATGGGTGTGAAAAATTCCTGAAAGGGTGTGAAAGATGAGGGAGGGGCAGAGGAACTCATTAAACTTGGTTTTATGTTGATTGGCTTAAAATTGAAAGAGGTATTACAATTTACAAGTGGTGTTATGCTGATTGGCATTGCACTTTCAAGACGGTCCCTAAGTTTTCCGGCAGTTGTGTGCGAGCAGAACGATATTCCCATCTTGTTTTGTATTCTTAATTCATATTGCTGGAGAATGTTGAGCTAACTTAAAGTGTGAAATATTGCCCTCGTTTAACTTCACATGTGGAGCCTAATCTGAAAAGAATTGCCGTTATGACCCCGAAGATATTGCAGTTTAGATGTCAGTAAATGTGAGGGATACTGTTTTATAAAATACGTTTTTAAATCGTTTCTAGAAATTGTAAAGCATTTCAGAATTTTTAGTCCGTAACATTACGTTTTATTTCCGGTAGAAATAAGAAAAGAAAAGAAAATCTGCAAATTTTCTAAGATGATAAAACGTGCGTTGTATATCTAGATATGTGCACGTGTATACATGCTGACAGTCATACACGCATGCAGTTATAACTATCTGTACGTCTTTATATATATATCCCCATCGTTTCGAACAGATGACATGTTTAGCGCTATAGCTGGTTTTATCTGTTTCGTAAATTGTACGGTGGGTGAGCACAAATTACTTCGCCCTCGCTCTCATCCCTCCACCCAGTACGGTTTTCGCTTTCTTCTGAGTTAATATACTGCCAAAAAAAAAACTTGATGCCGCAGGGGTCGAGACCGTGAGTGAAGATGGAAGGAAACCAAGGAAGGTTTGGGCTGAAAAGTCGCAAGATGAGGCTGAGAGTAATATTCCTGGATGACAGCGAACAGATATTTGAGGTCGAAGTAAGCACGATGGGCTTTATTTAACTGTTTTGCTTATGTATGTTTGTATGTATTTATTTATGGATTTATAGATGTATTTATTTGTCTATGTGCGTGATTTGTGATTGGTGCGAAATGATATGACTTAATTTCCCATATAGTGTGAAATATAGACTTTCTGACAACTTCCACAGAAAAATCGTAGCGCAAAATTATTTCTCATTTGTTAATATTAGGGGTGTATGTGTGTGTGTGTGTGTATATATATATATATATATATATATATATATATATATATATATATATATAGACACACACACACATATGTATCACTTGGTAGTAAGTGAGTGATCCGTAAATTTTTCAAAGGCTTTTAACAAAACTGCTCGTTTTCTTTGCTTATATTCATTATTTTACCAGATATATACAGTAGACATACTGGTATATAGGTATATTGAGCATTTTTGGGTGATAAATAAATGACAATTTACTGTCTCGCCCAGAGGTCATTTTTTTTGCAGCAGGTACTGTAACAGAATTTGGGGAGATGGGGTGACCTGGATTTCCCTGTAATTTTCTTACAAAGCAGTGGCATTATGGAACCTATTATGAACTCCACACAGGGGGCATTGTGCATAAGGGCCAGGGGGCTCTTTCTCCATCTTCAGTGTGCAGGCAGAGAGAGTGAATAGTGCTCCTAATGCAGATGGGGGATGGAGAGAGGGAAGTTGCGATGTGGAAGGAGAGCCTGAGAAATGGGCATCCTTGCTGGCCAGACCGCTTTGTTGATATTACGGTTAATGTTATCCTTATTCCTAATGCTGAAAATGTGATCCGCAGAAGACTGAGAGTCTGATTAATGCCATTTTATGATGTGGCTTCGCTACTGTCATGATACTGTCATGTTCAGACATAGTAAATGTATTGTATTGACAAAAAATTGGCATGTGATGTCATTCTCTGTATGGTAAGGATTGTCTCAGGTATTGATATAAATACTGCATAATGAGCAGATCAAGCAGACCAAGGCCACATTCCCTGATAGCAGATGTTGCAGGTGATGTCATGTTCCACATTTGGCTCATGGTTTTTCAGATTAATTTTGGTTACATTACATTAGTGTTACAGTACAGCAGCTACTGCACTGAACTATATAACATTAGCAGCACTGTTAGTCACAGTCACTGTAGGATAGAATATGACATCAGTGCAAAGTAAAGGTTTAATGTGTGTGGCTCTGTACTTCAGCTCAGTGCGACCATCTTCCAATGCAACATTATCTGTCCTGCTTGAGTGCAGAATTAGCAGCTAAGTGCTGATTAGCTTAGCCTTAGCTAAGATCATTGCAGGGAAGCACATGGATGGGCTCATGGATGATAATGGGTTGTGAGACCACTTCCCTCATCACCCATCTAATTTGGACTTGGTGGTGGCAGGATAATGGTACCACGCTTGTGTCTCTGGGAGTCCTAAACACAGGGTTGCAGGACTCCTGCAGCGTCTTCCGTGGGTGGGTGGAGCTTCTTGTCAGTTGATTTTGTAGATTGTGGGCTGATGGACTTATGTTTTTGCTGTCAGAAGAGAGCTCAGACTTTAAGCAGCCCCTTTCTCCCCCATCTCCCACACCACTATATTTATTAGTACACAGCATTGTCAATGATCTAGGGATCCCCCGAGCACTGAAAATGCTCTGCTCTTCAAGATGATCCTTGCTCATCCAGCAGCAGAAAACGATGTGCAGAAAGTGTGCAAAATCACAACAGACAAGCAGATCAGTTTATTTATATTCCAGGATTCCAGTGGAATTACAAAACATCCTTATTCAAGGCTGATATCTATTTATTCTCTTCTTCATCAGGAGAGAGCTGTCTTAGAGAGCTTCTGCAGATGGTAACACTAATCATTTCTATTTTATGTTATACTGCAGCAAAGGCTTCTGGGAATCGACTTCCACAACCAAGTTTGTGGCCACCTGAAACTGCTGGAAAAGGAGTATTTTGGATTGGAGTTTCGTCACCACAGTGGCAGTTATGTGAGTGACATGCGACATGGGTGTGGCATGAGATATCATAGAGAGATATGGGCTTAGCAACTGAATAACAGAACAGTGATAGTTTCACTCATTTGGTTAATTCAATTGGGTAGTTTTCTCATATTCTGTCTTGTCTCCATAAGACATACAGACATATATAGGGATGAGAGCAAGTTCAGGATCAGAGTGCAGGGGCGGCCAGCATCCACTGCCTGTGAGTCTGTTGGGGTTAAATGCCTTTCTTAAAGGCCCAATGGTAAAATCATTCTGCTCACCATGGGATTTAAACCAGCAGCTTTCCAATTTGTGATTCTAGGAGGGAAGTTGCTGGGGGCAATAATCCCTTGTAGGGTCTCCCAAGGCAAATTGGTCCTAGATGAGCAGTCAAGACATTGTGCAATTCAGAAGAGCCCTACGACAGAAAAGCCTAAGGACCATGTAACCATGACTGGATTAGGAAGACTGGGGCCCACCCTAGAGCCAGGCCTGGGGGGGGGCTTGCAGGAGAGCGCCCTTCTGTGGGTCCACCACCTGTGGAGGGGGGGGGGGGCATAGAGGTCGAGTGCAGATACAGTAAAGGGTTCGGCCTCAGTGGACTGAAATTGTTACTGAAACTGGCTTGAAGAACATGGCATATAACCTCTGCTTTGGAAAAGGAGCCACAGCTAGTGTGGGCATGAAGCGATACTGTCAAGAAATAGCCAGGCTAACCTCAACAAATGACAGGGGCTCTGGAACCAAACTTTGAGAGAGGGGCTGAACCACTTTGGCGTTGCCCTGGGTGAAAGGTGTTTGACAGGTGTAGATATACTCATGGCATCAGTGCGTTGGAGATCATCCGGGTGGATGTGAGGTTCACCTCCCTTTGACTTTGTGTCAAGAGGTAGGCTCTGGCAGTGGTCTGTGCTTATCCACCGAACATTAATTCAGAATATCTGGCCTTCTTGGAGACTTTGGGTACGATGCTGAAAGACTCTCCCTCTGGGAATTCCATTGTGCTGCTAGGAGACTTATACATTCACTGGGGTAACAAGATTGAAATCTGGAGGGGTGTGATTTGGAGGAGCAGCCTGCGCAATTTGAACCTGGCTGGTGCTCTGTTATTGAACTTAGTAGATCCAAACATGTAGTGATGGTGTACTGAGAGCATCTGGCAGAGGCCCCTGTCCAGGAGTTCTTTAACTCACACTTCCAGCAGAGAAGGGCCATGTTCCATGCCTCCATTGCTGAGGCAGCTGTGCAGAGCTGTGGCTATAAGGCTGTTGCACCCTGCAACATGTGACGTCGCCACTGCCAATGACGACCGTGCATCCAGCTCGCCGTTCTGCCAGTGTCATCTTCCTTGTATGACCCGCTCCCTGTCTTCTGGCTGCCTGGCGATTGGAGGAAGTGTTGGCACCGGCTTGTCATCTCCCCCCTGCTCCCCGTTTGTGTTTCAGACTAAACTGTATTTGACTCT